CAGGAGCGAGAGGGGAAGGGCAGGAGGGAGGTCTGGGTCGTACGGCTGCTGTGGGTGGTGATGGCCAGCCCAGCCTGCTGCTCCTGGCACGGGACAGCTCGGCGGCTCCAAAGGAAAATTGCTTTTCTTGGTCATGCTTGTGGGCTCCAGTTTCACGCCGGGCTGGGAGCGAGGGTGTTGGATACTGCAGTGGAAATAGCTGGAGCTGCTCCATGGACTGCTGCTGGATATGGCTGGCAGAGGTGGGCCGTGCAGGGCAGGGACCACGGGGCATCGTCGTCAGTCCGACGTGAGTCAGCGCAGGCTGGGCAGAGTCACTGGCTCTATTTTTAGGGGCTGGGGATGAGCAGGGAGCACGACGTGTGCTGTGTGGCATCCTGGGTGGGGAGGGACGCTGACTCAGAGCAGGGCGGAGGGGCTGTGGGGCAGGAAGGGACCATGGTCCCGTGTGCTCTGGTCCCCTTGGGCAAAGAGCTGGACGTGACCCCTCTCCCTGTGCCTTGGCTGGGATCTTCAGCATCCCTCGGAGCAACCTAAAGGTCCAGATGAGCTAGATGTGTTTTTGCACAGTCCCTGAGATGGGGGAAGAGGGATGGAGCAAATGTGCAGCTGGAGGAGCTCAGCTCAGGCACCTTCACTGGCTGAAATGGGGATACTGGAAGGGCGTGGCCCCCTTCCCGTGTGAGCTGTGGCCTCATCCATCTCCCCTTCTCTTTTGCTGCAGAGCCCAGGAGCTATGTCGAGTCGGTGGCCCGCACGGCCACGACAGGCAGGGGAGGGAGCCTGCCCACTGCCGAGCCTGGGGGCCCGGAGGTGTCTGCCAGGAATGGTTCCTTCACCAGCTCCTTCACCGCTCCCAGCCCCGTCTCCACCAGCAGCCCCATTCACAGCGTGGACGGGTAAGGCAGTGGGTGCAGGTCCCGGGGGCTGGTGGGGACAGGGCTGAACCCTGCCTGGTTCACGGGCTTCCTTCCACTTTGAAATTGCCTTTGCAAGGACCCCTGTCTCCTCATGCAGGGCTTAGGGGGCCTGGCTAACCGTGCAGCTCATTGCCCTGAGGACAATGAAGACAAGCTGGGTCACTGGTGGTCACTGGTGGTCACTGGTCCTCGGCAGCACCTTGCCGGGATCCTGGGACAGGAGGAGGGGTGGGGTCTGTGCTAACCTCTAGCCTTGGGTTGGGCTGAGCTTCGATGCCCTGTGGTGCAATGGAGCCATCGTCCCTGTCTCCTCTCCACCCTGCTCATGGGGTGTCCTGCACCAGCTCACCTGGTGAGGTTGTCAGGGGGGGATGAACCGGCTGTTTTTCTGGGAGAGAGAAACTGGAAAAAGGTTTTGTCTCCCAGAAAATCATATTTTGTGAGGGAACTGGGAGGCATGGGGGAACTAAAGCTGCCTCCGGTTGCTTTCATGCAGCTGGCAGGACCCATTCCACCCTTGCCTCTGAGCAGCTCGCTGGTGCTGTGCCTCAGTTTCCCTGTGCAGCTCTCACTGAAGGGTGCCAGCCAGCAGCAGGA